GGAGTACGCCATGCTAATGTGCCTTGGATGATCCACATCTCAGGGTCAGGCGCCGATGAGCACATTGAACTATCCATGTGGCTGAGAGCCCTCACAGCCTAGGCACAACGACGCAATTATCAGGGGCGCGCTCTACCACTGAGCTAATAGCCCTTCGTGCGAGCCTCCCACTGGGGGCCCGCTATGCCAAAAGCGAGAGAAACCCCATCCCTCTCTTTCCTTTTTTCCGCCCCCATGTCCCCCTTGTGGCGGCATGGAGGCGAAACAAAGGGGATCCTATCGACTTGTTCCGACCTAGGATAATAAGCTCATTAGCTTGGTCTTACTTCACCGTCGAGAAACGAAAGAAGACTTCCATCTCCAAGTTTAACTCAGATGTAGCTCCCTTATTTTGGTTTTGGGTGTGAAGCAGTGTCAAACCAAAATACCCAACAAGCATTAGCTCTCCCTGAAAAGGAGGTGATCCAGCCGCACCTTCCAGTACGGCTACCTTGTTACGACTTTATTTTTTGTTATTTTTTTTATTTTGTTTGATTTGTTGACAAGTTAACGTAATTATATTACTGTCGTTGACAGTAAAATAACTGTAAACACAATAATATTACTGTCAACAACATCAATATTATTATGTTTTTGGGTTTTTTGTTTTGTTTGAGTTATTCACGGAGTAACGTAATAATATTACTATCTATTATTGTAATATTACTGTAAACACAATAATATTACTGTGGTTGACGATAATATTACTGTTGTTATAGTAATATTGCTGTCAACCACATCATTATTATTATTTTGTTTGGATTTTTTTTTTGTTTGAGTTATTCACGGAGTAACGTAATAATATTACTGTCTATTATTGTAATATTACTGTGGTTGACGGTAATATTACTGTTGTTATAGTAATATTACTGTCACTCACAGTAATATTAATTCTTTTCGCTTTTTATTATGTTAACATTTGTTGAACGGTCAACATAGTAATATTACTCTATTACACAATAATAATGAGTTTTGTTGTGTTAATATTACTGTGTTAGAGATTAATATAACAATATTATTGTGTTAAACTTTAATTTAGTTAATTTTACTGTGTTTAACAGTAATATAGTTAATATTATTGTCAATCACAGCAATATTGTTGTTTAAACGAAAAAAAAAAGTTACAGAAAGAAAGTAAAAAAAAAAAAAAAAAAGTCAACGCCGGAAACCGACGAAAAAATTCGGAAGAAACAAAAATTGAAAACTTAACGCCGGAATCCGGCCCGAAATTTGTTTTTTGAAAAAAAAATGTTTTGGGTCAAAATTGAATAATTTGTGAAATTTGAGGTCAAATTGAAGTTAAATTAAGTTAAGGATGAAATTGGAGCATACTAAAGTATGAGGGGTTATTTTAGTTCTTTACAAAAATCTGGATCATGTGTGGACTTATTGGTAAATGAGTTTTTTGTCTGGATCTCTTTATGAATGAGTACGCATTGATGGGCCATTGATGGGCTTATTTGTAAACACCCCAATATATATATATATATGTATATGGGAGTGCTAAATCCCGCACTGAAACTCACTAAATCACGCACACAAATTGAAAAGTTTCTCTCTCTAACACTATAAACCCTCTCTCTATGTCTAAACCAAATTTACGATTAGAAGAGTTCTCTTAAACATATTTTAAATAATCTTTAATTATTAATATTTTGTAAATATTCCTACAATATTTATTAAAAAATTTGAAACAGTAATTTTTGATAATAAGTACTTTTAATATTAAAAAATTGTAAGAGTAATTAATATTCATTTAACATCATTAAATAACTATTAAAATTAATTAAATAGATAATTAAAAAGAAAAAAACCCTAAATCACACCCCAGCCCCCGCCACCCAGCACCGGCACCATCTCCCCTACCACCCCAAACCCCGGAACCTACAGTGCGTCTGCCATAGTTATGTTTGTGATGGTTTTTTTTTCACGTGCAAGATGGTTTTGTGTGTGATTTTGTGGGCAATAAGAGAAAATAAAGAGAGGAGAAAGAAGAAAAAAAATTTTGGTGAAAAAGTTTAGAGAGAGAAATAATTTTAATTGTGTGCGTGATTTAATGATTTTAGTGCGGAATTTAACATTTCAGTTAAATATATATATATATATATATATATATATATATATATATATATATATATATATGTATATATATATATATGTATGTATATATATGTGTGTGTGTGTGTATTATGTATTAAGAAAAATAATTTCAACGGTCAAATTAAACAAAATTTCTTTTTAAGTATTTAAGAAAAATTAAGTTTTTTAAATATTCTTTCCACTTTCTCAAATTACAAGCATTCTAATGTATGTTTATTCCTAATTAAAATGCAATTTTTAAATCATATGTGTGTGTATTAGTGTCCGTAAATTTAAGAAAATGAGGGGATGATTTTCTAATTTTCTCCACTAATTAATAATCCTAAAATGCATGAGAAAAAAATATTTTCTAAGATTTTGTGCATGCATAACTATGATAAAATGCTTACTTAAATTCATATGCAAGAATAAAATCCTAGTTCATGAAAAATATTTTATTCTACAAATTTGAGAAATATTTATTTCGACATAATATCTCAAAATATTTCCTAAGCACATAATTCGAGTAATCACATAATTCACTTAATCACATAATCACATAATCCACATAATCACATAATCATATATTTCACATAATCACCTAATTTTTCAAATCAATATTAATCATGCAATAATTATTCTAAGTCTTAATTTCATAGATTTGCACATAGAAGTGGTAAAATAAAATAATAGTATTTTACCGAAAATGCGGGGGTTACATGTTACGAGACCCAAATACCTTACGCAGAAGCAAAAACACGGAACATCCAAGGAATAATGACTCCATAACTATAAAGTGCTAGACACCATTATTATCAAGGTGGAATATTGACTTCGTGGTTATAAAGAACCATAAACCAATATTATGTTGCTAAAAAATTACAAGAATCCACTTGTAAGATCCCGAAGTTTGTTGTAGAACATCGAAGGAGAATTGTTCTCACAAAATACTCAAAATATGATTAAAATTTGTCCCCTTAAAATAAGCCAAATTGGCAACCTATTTATAAGATCTAAAAGACTCCTTTTTCCTCAAGGAAAATGACTTTTACCTAAACTATAATAACGAAATTAATAAATAAGAAAATCTCAATTATAAAAAACTCTAATATAATAAAATATAATATATACTAAATAAAAAATAATTTAATAAAATACAAACTCCAAACATCAAGTAACACGAACACTCTTCATAACTCGAGTAGACACTTGGTTATGCACGTGTGTTGACTTCGAGCTCAATTTCTAACCTTTTCCACTTCGAATCTTTCTCGGATAAACAACCAAGTTTTAGATCTTTAAATCGTCTTTCCTTAGCAATTCGAATCACCTTAATTGGACGTCATATGAGAGAGTTATAACCCGAATGGTCAACTGCCAGAAATAGGCGAGGATCTCGGATGCATGGAATTCGGTTTATCCAACGAATTCCCCTCTTTATTTTCTTTCAATTACTCATCATTGACATATCGAACATTCGATTCAAGCATTTATTCTCTAAGGAAAACTCGGATAGCCTCTTTAAACTCGTACGCTTGCACTTTTTCCAATTTTTCATCTTAGAGCTTGCTAGGATCGTATCATACTCCCCATCTTATAAAGGATTCGTCCTCGAATCTGGACAAATATCAAAAGGTATATAAATATAATCTATCTCATAATCAATCTCTCGGTTCGGTAGAAAACTTAAACATCTCCGCACCACATCGCAGAACACACCATCTTCATCGGCTTGCATTAAAAGAGTTTGCAATCCAGTTAGCTCGGCACCAGCTTCGATGCATGGCTGGATTATATCATTCTCCATCTCTTCAAAAGGATTCGCCCTCGAATCCGAACCTTCTTTTTCTTCCCCATCGAACTTGACCTCAACAATCTTTGTTACCTCTTTTTCAACTAACGCATCATCATTTCCTAAATCGGTTCTTTCTTTGGTCTCATATGGAGGATCGAACGTGGCCTCTCTTGGTATTGATTCCCAATATCGGTTTGATGAAGAGCTCCACCGTTTTTTTGGACTCAACGATCTCCTTCTTTCTACTCATTGGCATGGAATGAATGAACTGCGGGCTTAGATGATCTAGGATGATCAACCAACTCTCGCTCGTAATACTCATAATGACCTTGTCTTGGTTGATCCAACTAAGCCCCTCGCAGCATATTAACATCTCTTGGTGTTGCAGCTGCGACACCATGCATATCTTCCATCACTATATACATCCTTATTACGATAAGGTATAACAGGTTGGTGAACATCACGTCGTACGTATGGCCCTCGAACATGTTGATCTTTGCGTAGTTCCTTTACCTTTGAAAAGAGGTTGGTAGCAATATCTAGACGCCGAGATGATCGAGCGAGCTATGGGAGGATTGTGGCCGATATACATAGTACCGTTGGTTCTTTCGAATACGTTTTGTTTTGGCACATCAGGAGACACATAGCGCGTGAAGTGGCTCGTCTTTCCTTTGGATGCACTTATATGTCAACAATATTACCTATTTCGATTCTAAATATTGTATCGCTTGAGGAGTAGTTTTAATAGAATTTATTTTCTTTCTAAAAAAAAAAAAAATCTAACATATATTAAAATGAATATACAATGAATTGATTAAGTAATCCTCTTCCGAAATTTTATGGCACATTCTAGAAAGATGGCATTTTGATATATTGATTTGTATTGAGGCCACGAAAGATGGAAAAAAAATATTTAATAGTCCAACCTTAATTAGGAAAAAAATCATTGCGGTAGAAATTGATACCCACTAAAATGTTATATATTCCATCAGTCTCCGACTCGGAAATTTACCAATAAGTCTTTATTTTCTTTACATATATCGGCTCTCTCTCTCTTTCTCCCAAATTTGTTAATTAGTAGTTTGAAATGGCAGATCTGAAGAAAGATGAGAGGCAAACGAAATTCGTAGGAGTACGGAAGAGAAACTCAAAATATTCAGCAGAAATATGGGATTTCAGAAAAAAGAAGCGTGTTTGGCTTGGCACTTTCAACACCCCCGAGGAGGCTTCTTTCGTTTATCTTTCCATGAAACGTGAGATTGACGAATATAAGGCTAAGTTATTTGCCAAAAAGATTCCCTCTCAAAATCCATCCTCAACCCTAGATTCTCCATCTCACGTCCAACTTTCCGACAAAAACGATGTTTCTGATGGAACCAGCAGCCGTAGCGCCGCCGTCCTGGAAGAGCAAGATTCCGAAGAAAACGAGGATTCTGATGAAACCCGCAGCCGTAGCGCCGCCCCGGGTGAAAAAGAGCAAGTTTCCGGCGAAAACGAGGTTTCTGATGGAACCCGTAGCGCCGCCGCCATGGAAGGGCAAGTTTCTGGCAAAAAAGAGGTTTCTGATGAAACCAGCAGCCGTAGCGCCGCCGCCATGGAAGACCAAGTTTCCGACAAAAATCAGGTTTTTGATGAAACCCGTAGCCATAGCGCCGCCGCCGTGGAAGGGAAAGACGAGGTTTGTGGATATCAAGATGACAAATTAGGGTTCATCAACGGTGTGCAAGTGTTCGATGAGTATGGGATTTTGGTGGGGGAATTCAGCCACATCGATGATCTTAGCATCATCTGCCAACCCGAAGATTGCGCTTCTATTTTTTGATATTCGGTCAAATTCTTACATTTGACTTAATTAGTTTTTAGGGTTCTTCAACAATTTCTTTTCATCTTCAATATTAGATTTTACTTTATCGGACTCTTTTTTGGAATTGTAAGGCATTGCCCTGGATATGGCATAGATCTCTCTCTCTCTCTCTTATTTTGAGTTTTATTTTATTCTTTATTCTTTATGTTTTTTAATTTTTATTTTTCAAAATTTACTAAATTACGGTTGTTAAATTAATGTATTCGAATACTGAATTTGATAGTCAACTACAATATTATGCTAGTTACCTATAAAACCGTGGTAGTCAACTATAACATTCTGCTAATTAGTTATAGAATTGTGGCCGTCAACTACAAAATAATATAATGATAGTTCACTATGATTTTTTCTTAGTTATCTATAAACTTGTGATAGTAAACTATATAAATATAGGGGCTCTTTGAGAAAACCCCCTCACTATTTTTTTTTAATGAAGGGATGTCCAAAATATTTTAATCTATTTGAGAAAAGTCCACACCCATTTTCAGCCATTATGTTTTCCAGCTTTACCCCCGCCCGCCACCTCATCATTGGGTCACGCGCTCCGCGATTTTTTTTATTTTTTTTTTCCGTCTTTTTAATCGACTATGAAGCATAGTCGATTAGTCTTAAATCGACTATGCTTCATAGTCGATTAAGGATATTCTTTAATTTTTGATTTTTTTTTGTTTTTATATCAGGTTTATTGATTGACTATGATGAAGCATAGTCGATTAAGAATCTGCTACTATACATAACAAATTACAACTGCGAAAAAATGCAAAATCAACTATATTTTACAAAAACAAAAAATATACAAACATTATAATTCATTCATATACTTGGAATCAATAAACGAAACAATCGATTAACACTTAATCGACTACCATAGTGTAGTCGATTAACTTAATCGACTATAAAAAAACATAGTCGACTAACTTAATCGACTATCAAAACGTAGTCGATTAACCTCCACGAACATTCTCTACACGCGTCATCTTCCGTCTAATTATCCAAAAAATCCTAAATCAGCTCCTCATCTTCACCACGCCGCCGCCGCACCACACCATCACCACTTTCGTATGACAAAATCTTCACTTTTACCGTCACAATGGGAAACTGTAAGAGCATCTACCTTTCATGTGGTTGTGTGTGTCTCTAGAATAATTAAAGTGGTCATAATAATAACTTGACTTATTAAAATATTAGAATAAACACTTGCTGTCAGTTTGTTCTTTGTTCCCAGGCCTTGGTACAACGAAACTACTTGGCCTGTGGATATTGCTTCCCACAATACATCCGAAATATTCCTGCCCAAATTATATACGCAAATCAATTTCAAATTATATATATATAAACACATTGATGTGCCAAGTTTAGTCACATACAATAATATAAATTTACCCTTTTATTTTATTCTGTAAATTACTAGATTTTGCCATAGGTTCGAATATTCATACCTTGTATGTGTATGAGATCACTAAATAATGTAAACACAAGAGATTATTAAGCAATATGTGTGGTCTAATTAATTGATGATGTGTGTAAGATAATGGATACGAATGGCCCAATTTATTGAATTCCTTTATTTACTCCTACTCAACTGACCTTTTCTCTCTTTATGACCTAGTATATATACTACTGCAATATGGGCCTTTTTGGGCTTGTTTACATTTCCAAGATAGGAAAACCGTCATCCTGTCTATTCGGCCACGTGGCATGTTCTTATTGGTTCTTTTGACTGTTCCTCCATCAGTTTAGGCCTGCCACCCCTCCTTTACGTCCCATAATTGTCCCCCTTTCTACTTTCGAGATGCCGACGTAATGCCTACATTGTTAGGCGTGGGATTTATCTTGAAAGTCTATCTCGTAGGTTTTAGACCTCGGTTTTTACCCTCGGCGGTTTATTACGATAGTTGTGGTATTGGGCTTCCCTGATCTTGACATGGGCCCAAGTCGGGCCTGATTATCTGGGCCTCACTTAACTGGACTTGGGCTTCTCCTCAAGGCCAAACTTAGTCCGGATCATCTACTCCCCACACTATACGTAGTTTGACGAGGTATCTAAAACTAGGTATAGTATTATTGGTTTTAAAAAAAAAAAATCTCTTGCATCTCCTCTCTTTCTACTCCCCCCACTATACGTAGTTTGACGAGGTATCTAAAACTAGGTATAGTATTATTGGTTTAAAAAAAAAATCTCTTGCATCTCCTCTCTACTCTCCCCAGTTCGCCACTACGAAAAGAATTTAGTGGTGTCGAACTGTAGCATTGATGATACTTCGGCATCAGTCTTTTTATCTGCCGTTTGCTTTTGCCAAAAAAGCCCTTGCAATCATGACCCCTTCCTCGGAATTCGCGTAAGCACGTGAGTTAATGGCAGAAAATTTAATGTGGTAAGTCCACGTGTCTGCCTTTATATGGCGACTGTTGATATGCCCGAGGTTTCGGGGTATGTGAAACGTTGAGGAATCGTGGCCGTTCTTTAATTTGAAATGAACGGCCAGATTCCCTTCGTTTGGGTAGAGACAAAAATTCACTCTATATATACATTCTAAATAGGCCCTTTCCAATTTTTCGCAACCTCCTCTTCCTCACATTGCTAAATCTCTGCATCTGCCCATTTCCGATTTGTGCAAAATTTTTCCGTTTGCTTCATCTTTCCTGACGGCACGCGCACGTCCCTTCCCGTATTATCCCTTAGCTTCACCGGAAGCCATTCTTGCAGATGATTTTCTCATTCCTTTTTGTTTCAACAAAGTTATCCTTTTATAGGATGTCTAGCGATTCGTCCGCCCTAGGTAGTTCTCTAGAATTGCTATTAGGTGATTCAGATTCCTCGCATCTCCTTTTAGATGACGCCATGTTTGAGGGTGTAGACGAGATATGAGACGTCGCCTTGGTAGATCCTAATAGAATAGTTCAAAATCCTATACCTCTTTCGAGTTCCAAACATCCGTACACAGTAGTGGACAGTAGTTGGGTCTTGGAGTATGTGGAGTTCGGGCCTGGATATCAATATGTACACCCCGAGCCGACCCAACTTCCGGGCTATTTTGATGACAAGCTTTTGACTTGGTATGAGGACCAAGCAAAAACCGGCCTTTCCTTTCCTCTTAACCCATTTTTAGTGGACGTCGCCAACCGCTTCGGGATACCTTTATGTCGGTTTTCCCCTAATTCATTTAGTATAACGAATTGTTTTTTTATGATATGCACCCTCCTACATATCCAAAATATTTGCGGCGGGCTATTGGATTATTTTTTCTATGCTCGCCGTTCAGGGTCGATGTATTATCTCTCCAATCGGCGAGATAAGACTATTTTCACCAATATTCCGAACAAAATTAATTATTGGCATCGAAGATTCTTCTTCGTTCGAAGTAATGAACCTTGGCCCTTTAATACTCAAGCCGGTAGTATTCAAACCCCACCCCCTCATACCGAGGACATGCTTGTTGACATCGCATATATAGAGTCTTTCTTCCATAATCAATTTTTAGACGTAGAAAGTGCTATACGGACACCAGGGCTGCTTGCTGCCTTTGGTTTACTCCGTACGCCGGGGCCTGTTACGACTCCCGCTGAACGCGGTAATCATCTCGCCTATATGCGAATTATTTCTTTTCTTTAAATAAGTATCTATTAATTATTTTCCCATCTTATTATTGCATAATTAACGATGTTTGCCCACCTGCGCTCTACTCCGTTTCCGAAAAAAACTGCTGCCACAATTAAAAACTTACGTCGGCCGGAAGCCACCGGGAAAGGACCGACGATGTCAATTCCCCACTGAGAGAAAGGGCAGGGTGACGTCATGATACCCAGCTCCTCTGCCGGCACATGGATCAGCGGAGCATGTTCCTGGCATTTGGAGCAACGTTTAACAAATTCCCCCGAATCTTTTTTCATTGATGGCCAAAAATATCCTGATTGTAAAAGTCGCCTCGCCAAGCTCTTGGCCCCAGTGTGATTGCCGCAACACCCCTCATGCATCTCGTTCATGGCGTACCCAACCTCGTCCTCTCCGAGGCATTTCAACGGGTCCGAGACGAAGGATCTTCTATATAACTCCCCCCCAATGTCCACGAAGTAGCGTGCTCGCGCAGTTACTTTGTCTTGCTCTTTCTTACTGGCCATTTTTTCACCTCGTAGATATGCATTACTAATGGCAGCCTCCAATCCTATTTAACTGATATGCCCAAGACCTCGGCCTTTCCGCCGCCTTCTGGCTCCACTCTTAACGATATCTGCCGCTCTCCTACTCCCGCCGCCGAACTGGCCATCCTTGCCAAGAAATCCGCCCGGCGATTCTCCTCCCTAGGGACTTGAGCTACCCCGCAATGACCGAATTGAGCCATTAGCTCGGGTATCTGAGCCACATATCGGCCCATTCGATCGTCCTTTACGTCGAAAGCCCCGTTGATCTGCTGAACAACCAATTGGGAGTCGGAAAACACTTTGATGAATCTTACCCCCCTAGCTTGGGCCAGTCTGAGCCCTTCCTTGATCGCTTCATATTCCACCTCATTGTTGGAAGCCTGAAACGCCAACCTCACCGCGTATTCGAACACCTCGCCTTTTGCATTGGTTAACATAATTCCTACCCCGCAACCCCCAAATAGTGGATGAACCGTCTATGTGAGCCTTCCACACCTCGCGCTCTACCTCATCACACCCCGACGTTGCTTCCTGAATGAAATCCGCCAATACTTGCCCCTTTATAGAGACGCGAGGCTGGAACTCCACATCATACTGTCCCAACTCTACAGCCCATTTTACCATTCTACCGGAAACCTCGGGATTGCTCAATATCTGCTTCTGAGGGTGATTAGTTCTTACTATGATGGTATGTGACAAGAAATAAGGCTTTAACTTTCGGGCTGATATCATTACTGCGTAGGCGATCTTCTCTATATCTGAATACCTTTGCTCCGCGCCCTACAAGACTTTACTCACGAAGTAAACCGGGAACTGCT